TGCCTGTTCGACACATTTGGGATAATATCACGCGATCACAGCGTTGAACGTTTCGCGCAACAATGATTCCTGTGCCCATCGATCGCAACGGAATGCAGAAGGACGAGAAAGCGGAAGCTGGTCAAAAAGGGGACTGATAATCATTTCCTGTTTTTCAATTTCCTTTTTCATTACGTCGCACAGTATACAATTTAAAACAATAAAAACGTTTTACTTGATTATATATATAAATATAAACAATATAACATTTAATTTTACTTTAACACTATTAATTGTTTAATTAAAATAACATAGATAGATTTGATTTATATAGAAAAAGAAAAAATATTTTTAAATAAAAAATTAATATATAAACTTATGAAATAGTATGTATTATATATTTTTTATGTTTTATTTCATTTATATTATAAAAAATCGAATAAAAATCCTTATTTATAAAATTCACTAACATCTCAGATAAATCTACAATATTTCAACGAAATATAATAATAACAGAACATAATCTATAAAAAAATATGTAGAATATTTCTATGTAAGTACAACTAAATATTTTTCCTCGTCTTTTACGAATACAAAATTTCGTACATCGATATCGTACAGCGATACGTAAACAGCACGTGCGGAAAGCCACGTTCCGGTCGATGTAATCGTTACCGGATACGCAGGGGTTTTCAGTTCAGTAATCGATCGATGACGCCGTGGTCAAAACATGTGAATCTGACTGAAGTCGTTACATTAACACAAATTGTAGAAGTAAAAAGAAAAGAGAGATTCCAGTTTCGACGATCATAATTTCTCACCTTTCTTAGAATGCGGGAATTCGTACAGGACTAGATCACATATTCGTGTAATTCTGTCTTTTTAGGTCATTGTACCATAACGACGACAAGAGTAACGAAGAGTAATGATAATGATGACGATAATGATCCAATACGTCTACGATCGCTCTTTGTAGAAAATATTACGTTATAAATTCGTGAAAATCAGCTGGAAGTTGTTGAGCATTACTGGTTGACCTTCGATGTGTATAATATTAAAAATAACAAAAAAGAAGAGACAAAAATCGAAGCACACAAGTTCCAGATGACCGCCGATGAGGACGATGGGCAATGATCAGTGATTACACGGCCGTAATTTGCAAATATTAAATAATACTGATTGTAGGATGTCAAAAAATTACTTATAGGAATTTTACAAGGTCGTATCGTCGTCATCGTATCGCCATTGTCATCGGCATCGTTATTGTCACACAAAGGAATGTAAAAACCGACGATGAGAACAATATTATGGTTGATTAATAGCTGGTAGAGCCTGATAGGGAATTCCGCGAGATGGGCACGTCAATGTGAATTAATAATTTATTGAGAGAAGCAATTCGAGCGCGCCGCGCGGGGCAATGAATAAATAAGAATCCCATGTGACGAACGTATTTATTTTATTCTGAAAAATATATAAAATCACTCGGCCTCTGAAGGCCGTATCTGAATATTGTCAAATAAATCACAAAGCGTGAAATTACCGATATTACTTCTACGAAATGGAGATAAAGTATTTACCGGCGATCAACAAGAAGTTGAATTCCACGAGATTCATTTACGATATCTCAACGTGATAAAGCACGATTTCACTGTCGGATTTGTTTTTTAATCATCGCATTGCATTGTCGAGCCACGCGCGACGGCGCATGACAACATGACACTTGTGAAAATTGCACGAATAAAAAAAGTATCAAATATAAAAAAGATTGGTGGAACAATAGTAGAGATAATAATAGAACCTTTTCGTGAAAAATTCCACGAATGCGAAGAAAGCAAACGAACGTAGAAAAATTGCGGAGCATATCTTCAAGACATGTTTTTTTACACTGAGAAAAAATTTTAGTTGAAAATCGATAAACCAGAAAATTCTGATTTGTTTATTTTCTCAATCCGAATTCCAATTAATGCAACCAAACTCTTTTTCCAGTATAATGCTGGAAGTACAATGAAAAGCAGGCAATAGGAACAAGAAATAAAAAATTTTAATCTATCAAAAATCATGTATACTATTAGAGAATTGACGCTTTTTATTGTGTCTCTGATTTAATATATAAACTGATTCATGTGTTTGTCGATGATACAATCATCATCAAACGATCTTGTGTAACGCTAGAAATTTTTATATACATTAATCATTAATAGGTATAATGGAAAATATATGCAAATAAACAGAAAAATAACATCTAATTAGGGAAGATCCTTTTTTTATACTTCGCAGTGAAGATCTCTTAAAATTTCCTGTAAGGCCTTTGACTTCTCTGATGACGCACATAGATCCGAAAAATTCCGATTCAATTTTTGAACACAAAGGCATGTAACAGTATGTCTGCCGATATCGTGTGCGTTATACATATACGAACGTAGCCTACGTGGCATGACGTTCACAACACGGCGCCATTCCACACCACGGCGCAATCAGGAAATCCCGTATCGAGGCATTCTGCTCGAGAAGATCCTGGACCGGCGGTCCTGGTCAGACAGTTAGTTGAATTATAATGAGCGGCGCGTGCTAGATTGGTCTGATGCCGAGGCAGCGATTGGAATTAATCTGCCCAACGATTTAAAATGTCTAATTCCGTCTTCTCGCAGCATAGACATAAAACCGGTAGATCGTTCGCGAATAAACAGAAGCATTTATAATACAAATAAATAAAAGCGCTACATATAGTCGAGACTGCACCATGGTATCTAATAACATTTTTATATGAATGATTAAATACATTTTCCAGTTCTTCAAATTGTACAGCTGATCTTAAAATGCAATTCTGAAGCTCCAGAATAGTAACATTAGTATTTATATTCTTTTTTAGGAGACTGTTTGGGAATTTTGAAATTTCTCATGAAGTTATTTTTGCACATATCAAATTTTATTCTATAAAAAATGACGCATAAGAAGCTTTTATGTTACAAATTCCTCCAAGAGGAAAAATCGGTCGCATGATAAAAAGAGAACACTGATTTATGCGTAATTTAGTCATATTATACTTAATATATATGTATCGCAATATACTTTTAAAATTACTCTGTATGATTACCAGAAGTCAGAAGTTTTAGATAAGAATTAAATTATGCAATTCAATTACGATTACATAATGTTTGAATTCATGAGAAAAATTCTCAAAGCTAATTATAGTTCATAGCAGAAGGAAGTGGTTTAGTGATGAATTGATTATAAGTGCTGAGACTCTTACGAGAATAACTAGTCGCTATTTAAAGATAATTATTGACGATGAGTCAGATGCGGGAGAAACTTTTATGCACGGGAGTAATGAGACTCCGAATCGGTGTCATCTCTTTCTTGCAAACCGGGCATTCGCGATATCGCTAATGTTCACATTTACGTTAACGCAGTCGTGCACACGTGCCTCTTATACGGCAAGGTCGTGTGCAAGGCCGCGATGCGCCGTGATTTAGTCGTGTATCTCAAAATCGAAAAAGAAGACTCGCAGGCTAACCGTGTTCGACGAATACCTGTTTCTTTTTTTTTCATTACGGAATAGTTCCGGTTCTGTCTTCTGTACATAAGATGGTCCAAATGTATAGTCCAACTGGACATAATCTCGCGCGAAGCACTAAGTTAATATTTTTTAATTAGAAGTAACTCTTTTTTACCTCCGGTCGAATTTCCTACACTAATATCGCTTGAAAATAAAAGTGTGTCTTGATAGATAAAATAAAATTTTTGTTGTACTTTTATTCGTAGATACCGCACTTGCCATTATAAACACGTTGGTCTTATTAATAATTAAATTTTAACTTCAATATATAACTTCAATAAATTTAAAAAAAAAAAATATGTAATATGCGCTGCATTTAATTATCGTAAGAGTCATTCGTGTAAACAGTGTGAACGATCGAATTTTAATGTTTTTTTGTGACACTCTGTTGATATGTGACATAAAAGTCAAAAAATGCAAATTAGAGACATCATTTAAATCTGATTTAAAACTAGTCTAATAGACATAGGTTGCAACAAACTTATGTTTTATCTTCGAGAGATATCCTCTTGTTGACGTCAACGTGAATAATATTAGGGAGCCATAAAATGTTAACTCGGCGCCAAGTAGTCGTGTAATGTTATTGGTTTTCTAGAAAGACTAATTCTAAACATTCAAATCTCTCTGTTTTTCAAGATGCTTCAAGGAATTCAATAGAACGCTAAAGAAACTCTAGTATCTGTCATTCAAAGGTTCATGATACTTAATCCAGACAAGAAATTCTCTATTTTCTCTACGGAGAAAATAAAGATTCTTTCTCGCTGTTATATGAGACAGAACCACATTCCTACACCTAATTTCAACTCCAAGCTAATTCTTATATTTTCGATTCACACATTCTTTACATTAAAATGTTCTGATAAGTAATGTCATCCAAGAGAAGGATTCATATTTTACATTAGTTGTTATTCTTCTTAAAATAAAATATTATAAGCAGAGAGTATTAAGATAAGATAATTTGCAGTAGAAGATAAACTATACGGTACTGTTCTGCGCGTAAACACTTTCTTCAGATCTTCATCAAATTCAGGGTCAACACCGGATTTCTATGCATGTTAACAGACATGCGTAATCACCTTGTCATGTGATTTCATTATTATTTTCTCGAGAATTTTAAACATTTTTAATGTATCGTTGATAAATTTTGGAAGGTAGCTGTAATGAGTTGTAATCAATAACGCAACAGGAGGTAGGCGCCAGACATCTTCTTTCTTCCTACGCAATTACATTTTAGTATAAGTGCGTAGTTTACCGCACATATAACATGCACAAATTAAGAAAACACGGCTTGCAAATTCCGTAAACATTTCAACTGACTTAATCAATAATCAATCATCCCCTATGTTTCGTATAGACCATATATGATTATAAGAGTATGAAAATTCGTATCAAGGTAATATTTCGAAATGTTATGGCGCTCTTATCTAAAATTACGTTGCTTTAAGTAAATATAAACACAAACACATAGTAAATATAAAAATATATTTCATGTTTGTATAACGGTTACAACAGCAATTCGATTTGACAAAATATCGAATTCAGTGCGTAACGCATCGGATAATGCGCATTTAAACAAAATTCACAAGTAACAAACTTTTAAAACACGTATACATGTATATAATGATAACTCTCTTTCTCTCTTCAACATTTTCTGTGTTCTGAGTTTTACAGAAGGGCTTTTGTTCATATTATTCAATAATACGAACATTATTTATAGAACACGTAAATATATGTTCATTATTGTCATAATCTTATATAATATAATATATTTAACAATTCAATATAATCTTCATCACAATGTTGCTGTATATTTAATGTCTCCCGTACGCATGGTGGGATTTATGAGCTAAAAAAATTATTTTTTAATTATAAATTTTCTTATAATAAAATAATATTAGGCACTTACGTTTATAAAACTCTCCCAAGAAGTTTACGTTAGGCACTAGAGAGTGAACTTTAGGTAAAACCGTAGCTTTTGATACTAGATCAGCGTTTACGTTCCAAATCTAAAAGAATAACACATTTTTAATTCTATTTGATAACGTTTTTTTTAAATACTGCTGTATATACTTGATTCACGACGTACGTACTTGAATGAGATCCTCCCTATCACGGATAGATACAGTCATGCCACAAATTTCATCCTCCTGTGCTACATCTAAAGCAAACTGTTCCCCGATAGCTGCAAGTACAACTTCTTTCCATACACATTCCTAAAAAAAAACCAAATATTTGTTAGACAAAGACTTTAAATATTTATAAAGTCTTGTGCAGGAAAATAAGAAAACAATTATTTGAACAAAAATTTGTGCTCGTAAAAATATTATCATATTAGAATATTTACGGTATCATATTTATGGCACTTCAATCTCCAGGTACCACCCTTTTGATTCACTTTGTCTTCCCATAAAGGATATCTGTCATCTCTCATTAAATGGTAACTGTATTTAACCTGACGGTAAAAATAAATAATTTATTGTAAAATATAAATAATAATTTAAATGATAAATAATAAGATAACGTATCATAATATTGTAAAATAGTATAATCAGATATTAAATAGTATAACATAATTTAAACAATAATATAATTAATATCAATTTTAAATATAGTTGATCTATAACAATTTGTACTTTACGATCAATAAAAAACACTCTACAACACAAAATTAAAGTTTTTCTACTAAAATAAAATTCCTTATGTAATATAAATATACTTGCATATATGAGGATGATAAAATTTTTTGTCACTATCAATTTTTCATATTGTACAAAGACTTGTTATGTTAATAAAATATAAAAATACAAAGTTTTTTTCTTTCGTAGAAATATATACATTTTTTTTTGTTAAAACAATTCAAATAAAAACTGTTTTTATCACATAAAATTAGTATTCTTAATAAGTTTTTCATTTAAACACTATAATTTAGCGAAATTAATTACAACAAATATAAAACATAAAAGAAAAACATTTTTTCTGTATATAGATTTTCATCATACCTGCATATCTCCAGCATTTGGTATGTTATTGAAGACTGCCCAGAAAGTTTGAACGGTGTTTACAGTGTAGATTTTCTGCAAGTTGTTTTTGTATTCCTCGGCAGTTGTACCAGGGATGGCTCTGTTAATTTAGTAATTGTTTCGAATTAGCACCGTGTTTAAATTTGTGATAGAAATAATTTGATTCTTTTGCATCCGCGTGTATATAAATCTCTCCAAAAATTCAGTAAATAATAATAAAAAATCTCAATTAAAACAGAAAAGGTAAATTAGACTATAAAATAATAATGTTTACTCTTTGTTTAGTTATATATTATATGTATACGTACATGATCTGATAATAATTCTTAGAGTGCAGCAATAGAAAAACATATATCAGATAACAAAGTGTCATATTGTATCTTTCGAAATAACCTTCCAAATACATTTCACATATTTTATTTGATACAAAGCTTAAAAATATTTTTTAAATTGTTGAAGTTGCTAAAATTACCCATTCATAGTCGAGTATGGCTTTTTCGGATTTCATCCTGTTCCCAAACCTTAAACATTGAAAGGTAACAATTTTCAACACATTTAAGATATACAGAGAAATGTGACGAGTAATTGGAATAGCATTCAAATTACAAACTTTAAAAGTTTCAAGGTTTAGCCTTAAAACTTCACTTATCAAAGATATGTGAAGCGTATTGATGTTATGAAGAAGATTACTTTGAAAGATAAAATATAATAATTTGTTATCTGAGATGTTTGTGTTATTTTATTGTTGCAATCCGAGAACTTTATTATATTAATTAAAGTATTAGATGTGTGTCAAAAATAAATGTTGATATGATGATGAAAAGCATTATTTGAAACAAAATATATAATTAAATTATAAAATATATAATATTATATCATAAATATAATTATTTATGATTATCTGAATCCATCAGTGCTGTCACATACACAAATGCAATAGTTTTTTTTAAATTTCACAAATAAAAATCAAAAAAGAAGGTTATTCTATTTTGTGTCTAAACATACTGTGTTAGTATTATTTATCTATGCAACAACAATTAAGTATTTGTTCAATAATAATATAACATGTATAAAAAATATATTATAAAAAACGTACATATATTATTTACCTATTATCTATTAATTTTACTTTGAGAACACTCTGTATAATCGTATAATTAAGTCCATAAAATTCCCTCGAATTGCACACAATGATAACGATAAATGCAAGTATCGTTATTTATTAATAGAACACGTAAATATGAATGTATACGAATGAATTTTTTCTCTGTGACGCAATGGCGGTTGCGAGAACAGAAGAGTGACGTGCATTTATGAAGATACCGTAAAGAATAAATTAATTTTGCGCTTATCTACATTGCACTTTGGACTATTTAAATAAAGGGAAATAGCAATCTCATCGACGTCGGATTGATGATTTTTCGACAGCGCTTCTCGTAAGCGTCGTTTGCAGTGTCAACGTTTGACAAGAGCGACGACAATAAGATCGAGATGCACCATCGCGTCGGAGTGCACTGCATTTCGGAGCGGGAAAAAGAAAAAATCACCGCGTTTCCTCTCACTTGTCGAGCCAAAAGGTCCAAGGCGTCTGCAACGGAATGCCGGAGTCCTCATCTTTCTGGATTACATTGACGGCCTCGTCCGACAACACCGGTGTTTTCAACAGGTCCGCTGAGGTGCCCTCCTTCGCTTCACATTCCGCCGCGGCCATGTTCGAAACGAACGATGCAGCAGCGCTACAACGTCTAAAATCATGTGATGATCACCGTTGCCGTCGCTGTCGATGACTGCGGCGAGAACCGATGACGTTTGTCGACCGAGAAAAAAAAGAAAATGTAGCGGTGGACGCGACGGAGCGCGGAATGTCTCCGAGACCAGCGCACTTCGATGTTGCGTTTGAAGTTGCGGATGAAATTCCATCGAATTTCGCGAACGTTTAAATCAATTCTTGGTCGATATTCATAATTAGTTCTTATATTCAAGATCGTCTTAAGTTCAGTCTTAAGATGTCATGAACCAATCAGAAAGCCGCATTAACATCTTAAGACATTATACTTAAGACAATCTTGAGATAAAGAACCGACGTAAATACCGGCCTTAGTCTCTATTTCAAATATATTCTTCGCTTACATAAAGCTGAATAGAAATTTTCTTGAATGTTATCACTAATAAACGTTAAATCTGGAAGTTTTTTGGATTAATACATAATTTATGTATCATCATCTTCAGTTGCTAATCATCTTCAATTACATGAGAAACGTGTAACAGTTATTAGAAAAATCAATATATGTCGCATCTCTTACATATAAAAAAATGTTTAACGGTCTTTTTTAATTTATAGAGGTTTTTTAAAATGTTTCTGATTTAGTGCATTCAAACTAGGAGATCAAAGAAATATTATTTAAAAAATATTTGAAATTTGAATTTCCACATATATATAATTCAAGATAATTGAAGAGCATTGACATTATCGACTGTTTCTAATTTATAGAAAAATGAAATTTTATAAAAATATAATTTAACGTATATAATAATATATATACACACTTACGAAAGACGAAATAACTACAAATTGAAAAATTAATTACAGAATTATTTCCTGAATATTTCATGTTGGATATTTAAAAACGGTCGATAATGTCAATGCTCTTCTGCATGTCGTGTTAAAAAAAACTTAATACAAATTGTGTTGATATTGTTTTGCAAGCTTCGACACAACGATGATTTGAATAATAAATCTATCTGTGATACATATTCCAATATTAATAAATTTATCTATGACATTTTACTTCAATTATAAAATAATACTTAAAAATATTTAATATAATGTTGAAGATGTATTCCAATAAATATAATTGCAAAGAATTATTTTTATTTCCATTCTTCTTTCTCCGCATATATCGATTTAAATTACAAATTTCACTAGCAACAAAAGAAAAATGTACACATGATCTGCTAAAATATTGTTAGCTATTCATTCCCTGATAAAAATAAAAATCGAAGCATATAAAGTCGTATGTAATAGAAGCGTAAACGAAACTTCTAGGAAGCAAAAATTATTATAGAACGATAAAACGTAAAAAAGAAGCGTTTACGCTCCTCCTTTTGAGTTTCAATTTCCGCCTCCTAGAAGTTTCATTTATGCTTCTATTATTTGCTCATTACATTCGACTTAGGTTTCGATTTTTATTTTCATTTTAGGATTATAATTTTTAGATCACTTTGTCTTCAATTGACTTTAACTAGCAACAAATTTTTCGAGCTGTCGTGTCTACATGCATGACTTATGTAGATGAACGCCGGACAATATCTTATAATATTATGCAAATTGAAAAAAAATGTGTACACTCTCCAAGTCATGTGTCATCACGGCGCATGCGAAGACATGCGATGCTTTTCTTATGTAAAAGAGTCCTAGTTCTTCACGCATTGTATTTTTGCTCTTAGCAGAAACTACATGTTGGTACCTAATATTAGTAATAACGTTCGTTAATAATAGATAAGTCAATCCACCTTGGGAAGAAGTTAATTTTTATAATCCACATACACGTTGTGCTCGGCATGTGTATAGTATGATTGTACATATTGTTTCATAATTACTAATAATGTAACAGATACATTTTTTCATATATGTGCCATTTAGCGACTTCACTTTATATAGGTCAGCAAATAAACAAGCATTTTTTTATCTACTTGTTTTTTTTCTAAATGTTTTACTCCATACGAATTTATTTAGAAAGATTAAACGTTAATATTAAAAAAAATTTTTTTTAATTATTTTTTTTTATATTTTTTTTTAAGAAAAATTTAATTTAAAAAAATTTTTTAAGTTTGTCATTAATATTTAACTGACGGATATCAAATTCACCCTTGTTTAAAAAAAAGTAGTTAAAATAATTATTAAATTAATTATCGAAGCATTATTTATTTTGCCTTCGCCAACAACGTGACTAAAATTTATAATTACACATTGTTAATTAAAAAAATTATAAATGTGCGTATAGAAAAAAAATACAGTTCATTTTCATTTCGTCAATATATTTTCTTTCATCTTCTCTTATATTCAATAACAATTGTTATATCCAATAAGGAAGAAAAAGGGATTTATAAACATCAAATTTTAATTAAAAAATTTAATCTATAGTGTACGTAAAAATTCCATTATTAGATAGATTATCCGTCGTAATGAACTATCAGGCGAATCGCCTCTCAAGAATTTAAGTTAAATTCGTTTTCTGTGGAACATCCTGTATAAGCACATCGACACAATATATAGACAGACATATACCTACACAGATAGACTTGTTTCATAGAGTATCTTCAGGCTCACAGTGCCGATGGCACTCGTTGATATTCGTGGTCGGGATACGGCACGGAGCGGCGACCCTCGCTCCTTTCGCGTCTTTCATTTCGGAGATGTCCGAAGGCATCATCATTTGTGAATGGGAACGATGTTTTGTTCACCGTTGCTTCGCGAACCGTGACACGACACGCTCACGTAAACGCCCATGCTAAATTTATCTCGCGTATCGAAGCCGCATGATGCATTCTTCTAGTTTATTGTAGCATCGGGCTTGTCACACGCGCGCGTACGAATTGTGCTACGAAACGAAAAGTTCCTTGTGTATGTTTAGGCGCCATCCTGTCGGTAGGTTTAGGACGTTGACCCTTTAAGGGACTTGCCTGCTAAATTGGTTGGCGCGTGTAAAAGATTCAACAGAAACACGTCCAGTCGAATAATGACAATCTAATGGTAATCTTCGCAGGACGTACAAAACGGAAGTTTTGAAAGATGCAGCGGGAAAATGTTGCATTAATCACTTTTCAATAGAATACACAAACGATGTCGCTTAAAACATTTTAGTCTACTTAGTCTAAATTGAAAATTGTACATTACAGTTTTGAGAATAATAGAGAAAATAAAAAATGAAAATAATGTGAAACGCATGCTGTTTTTTATTATAATATGTATAAATAGAAATTATCGTGTAACTTATTTATTCGTAACTATACATAATATATATTAATGCACACTTTATATATTTAATGTCTAAAAAAAGAAATATATATATGAAAAATTTTCGTGGTTTAGATTTGTCTTTTGAATTCAATATTGAATTATTTTAATTAATCGATTTTCGTTTTTTATTTTGTAACCTTGATGATTAGCGTTTTTATCTTTGCTTCTTGCTTTTTATCTCTAAATATATTGATTTTCAATCATCATTAGTTATCAAATTATAATCCTGACGTGTTGAATTTCTACAGTAGAATTTATACTTTCGTTGGAGAGCTAAAGAACTGTAATTTGCAATTTACGGTACTGTATGCGTATATTATTTCATCACTTGTGTGTGTATAACTATCATGGACATTTCACGGGTATTGAGTTAAGGATCTACCGGTCGTTTATCAACTCAGAGTTTATATTTTTATACCTCATTTTTCTGTTTCATTCGATTTTCGTGAAGGTCAATGTTAATGTAAAACAATTTTAAATACTAATTTAAACTTTAGACGGAACTGTATACTGCACATATACATGCCTGATAATTGTCTTATTATCGTATGCTCAGTAATAGATTATCTCATGCGTAATAGATTTTAAGTCGTTATTAATTTAATGAATTCGTAATCTATTTTTCAATTTCGTGTAATTCCCACGAAGACTAAAACGTAAGGAACAAGATAACTTAAAATTTCATCAAACAAACCGAAAAATTGTGGAAATCTTTTGCTATATTTATATATTTTATAATAGTTCGTAAAAAAATTGTTGGACTGCCGAATAGCTGTAAACGAATATAACACTGTTAATTATTTCTGCCGAAAAAAGGTTCAACGCAGTAAATGATGTTTAAACGTTGATGATAAGCCACGCGTAAGTAAGAGTTTGCGACATCCTGTCGAGTCACATTTCGCTCGCTCGTGGTTACGTGGAAGAAACGACTCGGCATTGCTCTTCACATTGACACCCAATGAGATGCAAGCAAACGCATATAACTACCAAAACGTGCATAGGCAAATGTCAAACTACTGTTCGCGCCGAAAGTGGATTTTACTGATCGCGCTTATTTCGTGCATTGTTGTCGCTGTTTTGATTACGAAATATCCGCGGTTTATTAACAATGATACAACAGTACGCGATACGTACCTGGATAATGTATCCACAGATCTCTATCAAACAGGTGAGAATCTTTTAAAGAATGTTCTTTTCAAATATACTTTTATCTTTAAGATCAGATGGTACAATTTCGAACAGTTCTAAATGAAATAAAATTTGAATCCAATTTTGAAGATGTACATTTAATTTTTTTTCCTATTGAGCTGTATCTTCCCTCTACACAAGAGATCAGAATTATCTTGAAATTGGATTCAAATTTTATTTTAGAATTATATCATGTTCAAAATTGTACTTACAATAAAGAAATAATTCTTTACTTGAAAGGTAATAGCAATATATATTCTTCTTATCATTGTTACAGTGCTTCATACATGGTACAATTTTTCCAGTGGTAAGTAATTCTAATCACTTGTAAGTTATTTTGAACGATACTTAATAAGTGTCAATGTATTGTAATCTCTATAGTTTCAGAATACGTTTTGTATAATAAACAGCTAATTGTGTAATTGCTTATTACAAATTAAAAAGAACTAATATGTGAAAAAAAGACGGAAATATAGATTAATATTCATGTTTTTACAGAAATCTTCATTTCGAGAAAATCATACTTAAACTTATGGAAAATTACATCACTCTCATATGTTATTGTTATTCTCTTACTAGACCGTGATACTTGTAAATTTAATTAACGAAATGCGATCCAGGCATCTAGCATATATAATTTTCATATCACGTGAAGGTACAGCACGTCATTCTGTACGCGCTTACGCAAATAATAACCTTAATGGTAAAATTACTAACCACGTATTTAAAATATGAAGTAATAAATAAAAGTCATATTTATAATTACAAATGTAATTTTAAACCTTGACATTTAATTGAAGTTTAATAATAATAGAATTTTAAAAATATGAAAATATATAAGTTTTGTTCATGTATTATAATGCAGAAGTATATTTTTCGATTTATTTATATGTAATCTGTTAATTAAATGAAACAAATTATTAAATGAATTTATTAAGTCTTCACAAAGTTATGTGACATTATATTATATTATAAAGATTTAAAATATATATGCTTTATTCATGCATTGTGTTTAATACAAAATATTTCGAAATTCGAGCGTAATAAGATTGTAGCATAAAAGTCCATGAAAAATTAAATAATAAAAATGTATGCCCCATTTTTTAAAGTTTAATTAATATCCTACATGTTAGTTAAAAAATCATTTGTCTGTATATTGAACAATGATATTAGATGTCGAACACTTTAAGAATAACCAACGCTAAACAAAACATTGTCGATGTATTTATTTTATAATACTACCGCACAGTTGTAACATAAATGACACTTTTTAACTAACGTTCAAAATTAGTTAAAATATCTTAAATTTGGTTATCTTCTTTAACCTAGTAAACCTTAAATCTTTATCATCAATTAAAAATGTACAAAAGTACGAACTCTCCAAATTAAAATCAATATAGAAATTAACCGTACGAATAAGAATACAGCGTTGTTAATAGTATGCAATTATATAAAAGCACCCAAGATCTAGCTTGACCGTTACGGCATGTTCTCATCGATATTCGTTAATTATAATCTATAATATTAGATCAAAACCATATAAGTAGATAAAATGAAAAAATGTAAGTGTAAATATATACATATATCTCATTATTTGTGCGGAACAAAATCGATTTAAACATCGCCTAAAAAGGCTAAAAATAGAAATATCGAATCCGTATCGATAAAGCCATATCACAAATTAACCAGCCGATATTTTATTGTATTAATATTTTTGCTCACAATACGTTGCGGTACGATATATCAAGATTTTTTTCTGTATCGCCCATCGCTAATTGGTATAATGTTATTTGATCCAAGATTTTAAGCTGCACTTTCAATCATCTGATTAATTCGTACTATGGGTTTTGAATCTTTATTTTATAAAAAAAATGACATGTACTTTTATTACTTATTTTTACGAACATTCATGTCGTAATCTTATCTTTGAGAATTTCGAGACACTCTGTATGTATTATATACTCACTAAATATATTATATAAAATTGCGTAATCCAATGTGATTGAAGTTTGGAGCGCTCCAGGAGCGAAAATTCAATGTAAGCTTACATTGAAGAAACAGACAATTGACGATCACTCGTATATACATGTGATCGAAAATTTTCAACGTATGTTCAAGAGTTCCAAATGAAAATTAGAAAGTGCGAGCATAGTATCTGAGAACTTAGAACATTTAGTAATCCAACTGTTTTGTTTATCTAATAAATTTATTTTATTTTTTTTTCAAGAAATACGATTAAAAATTTAATTAGAAGTAATGAATAAAGAAATTTGATTAGAGTAAATAATATATTAACGGATATAGTGACGCTCCATTAATAATGAATAATCAATGATCTATGAATCACTATTGATAATGAATCATGTATTTTATCTGTTTACTTTCAGAATAGGTCTTTTTTATAAACTAGTATAGACAAGTTCTTTCTTTTTAAAAATGTCAGGAGACGCGGTAGTGTCTCCGGCCATATTCAAAAACTGAAAGACACTACATATGTATATATTTTAGAAGTGAAAATTAAGTAAATATGCATTTTATTAGTTTTTTAATTAAAAGAAATAGAAATTTTAATATTGTAAAAGAATATTAAACTACTTCTGCTATTCAAACTTAATTTTTAGTTTGCTTAATATAAAAATAATAACATATATTTTTTATGTTGAATAACACGATACACATTTATTTATATTGATACCCAAATATCAGAAAATATAAAAATATTTATATTGCATGTACAGTTTGCAATTTCCATTTCTTCTAAAAATAACTAACAATAATAATTAACTATTTTAGATGAAAAATGGTACAATAAGAAGAATATATCTACCTTGAGCTCAGAATCCTTTTATGATTTATTAGCCGATATTCGTCAAAATTGGATAATATGGGATCATAATCCAAAAAAATCATATGTGCTACAAGAACCATATGTAGAAGATCCGTCAATGGGACAGTCAACTGCAATACGTGAAATTTTCAATGATAAGGTAAAATAATTATTACAATTTCATGAGAAATGTAAGGAAAATGTCTTTTGCAAGAATAAACGATGGAATGCATACACGATAACTCTCTAAATCTCGTGCAGTAAAATCTTACTTGAAAATATAACCACTTTTCCTCAAAAGTGGCAGATTTTCACTCTTTTTAGAGTGAGATTACTCTCTTGGAATGAGATACTCCAAAAGAGTAAAACCTTAATTTCTTTTTTGAAGTAATATCAATAAGGTAGATAGATAGATATGAAATTTTACTCCAAAAAAAGATTGTGAGATTTGAATCCTTTGGAATGAATCTCATTTCAAAAGAATCAATTTTAATTTAAAAAGAATGGAAATCTGCTACTCTTAAACAAGAGTGACAGAATTTTCACTCTTTTTTCAAGACTGTCTCAAATTTTCAGTCTCTTCGAGTGAGATTTTACTCCACGAGATTTAGAGAATATGCTTGACCAATTTATTATGTTATTAATAAATATCGAATTTTATTTATTGCTCTCTACAGAAAAACGGATTTTACGTAGAGTGTGGCGCGTACGACGGGGAAATACGTAGCAACACATTGTTTCTGGAGCGGTTTAGAGGATGGTCAGGTCTCTTGATAGAAGCTGATCCTATCAATTTCACGAAGATGTTGCAAAAGAACAGAAGGGCCTATCTCTCGCCAACGTGTCTCAGCATTACTAAGAGTCCTACGGTGGTAAGAAATAACGATTTGTGTAAGGATTTGTCGTTAACATTGAGAAACATTTGAGAAACAGCGCTGTCGCGAAACTTGAACACCAATTTTTAACTCGGCATATTGGACATTACATGAATTTCGAAAAGTTTGGTGAATCTCACGAAATTACAGGCATCCTTTCTCATGGCCAGAAATATAGGTCGTCTACATGAACCCGAAAACACGACAAAGGATATGCCTGCAAATACGCTCGATGTGGCTTACACGGGTAATCACGTCCGCGTGCAATGCTTTCCATTAACACTTTACATCGCCGCATTAGAAATCAAAACGATCGATTATTTCAGCCTTGACATTGAAGGCAATGAGATCGACGTATTAGAAACAATACCGTTTCACGAGGTGGATATAAAGGTAAGACACTTAACTTTGGTAATGCATTCTGAATCTATGCATTTGTTCAAGTAACTGATGTTCACGGTATGTTTTCTTGAAAGTATAATAATATTTTTGAGGAGTCTACGGTTTCTTCAAAGAAATTACATGGTTTGTGTGGGTTATTTCTATATATAATAAATTAATAATCTAATTGTAATGATACACCATAAGAGAAGTACGTGGTTGTTAAGCAGTGTTTGATTAAAGGGATGAGACTAGAGGGAACTATGAGGCCTTAATTATATCTCACAGTCTCAGTGGACCACCCCCCTCTCCTCCCTTTATCTTTTCTCTCCTTTAACAACGTATATAAAGGAAATTCTCCTGAGATAAGAGAAGCTTAGTATCAGATTGCTTCTCTCATCCTGATGAAGTAAACTGCAATTCACGAAACGTTGACATTTAACGACGTATCAAGACACGGAACCCGCATAGCTTTTTTGTGAAACGTACTTAATATTTTATGCAATACAATTATCATGACAGATATACATGTTTCAGGCTCTATCTGTGGAGTTCATACACAATAAAAAAGGAAAAAAGTATCTGATCGATATGATGGAACGTCAGGGATACTACGTTTACAGTTTGGTCACGCATTCGGACAACTTGGCGAACGATATTATTTTTGTAAAGCGCGACATATGACGAATTAATATGGATAGACAAAAATTATATATAAAAAGTAATAATCTAATTATTTAAATAATGTCTAATCCCATAATATTATTAAAACAATTTAATCTATTTATCATACCAGTCATAATTATAACATACATTGTTTCCGTTAAGAAATTAATATATCATGCAAACAAATATCTGGAATTGTGTGTTAACGAAAACATTTTTTTGTATTAACAAGATGTTTACAAAATTATGTTTTTATAACTCTATTCTTTTAATATTTTTATGACTGTTCTATATTAATAAAATAAACTGCTTTCTTTTCTACTTTTAAGTTTCTGTAGGAAATGTAATAACAAATCACACACAAAGACTTTAATTTATAATAATTTAACAATACTTTAATTAAGAATAAATTATAATTAGGAATAAATAGAAATATAAGCGAAATTGTATAATCGGGAACTGATAATCATACATGATACAGTGTATTTTCTGTACTTGATAAAAATTAATGACATTTCGTTACAATTCTCTCGACATTTTTTGCAAGTAAGTAATATACAATTCTGAAAAACGTATTGCTCTTTAATTATTCTAATAGTATATGAGCAGCTTGAGAACAATGTTTCGGTAAAAATAAAAAATAAGAATTAGTATACGTATATAGCTGTGCATTAACATATACATATTAATATTTTTACACTAAGAAAAAAAATTGAATTTTAATAAATGTTTTTTTGAATAATCCTAGCGGAATATTTACTTGCGGTAAATAAATGCTTAAATAAATAAAAAAATAATATTAAATTAAACTATGATTCTTATATCTGATAAATATGTGTTTACATTTATTAAATATTCCGTTAAAATTATTCATAGAAATATTTATTAAAATTTATTAAATTTTTTCTCAATGTAAAAATTGATTCAGAAAGCTATATTAAAAGTTTATATCATATAATAACACGGAAATCGCTTATTTTAATTAATTGTGTCAATAAAATATATCTGAATATTCTACAGGTTTACTTTATAACAATTTCTATATGTTTTATATTTTAATATTTTATAAACGGTAAATATGTGTGAACGATGCAAACATCTCTCTTTATTTTTGAAACTATTCCAACAAAAGATACGTTAAATTAGAATAATTTTGTAAATTATTAAAATTACAAATTAAAATAAAACATATTTATTGCTCACATCAGTTACTTTATTACAAACAATAAAGTTATTGCGCGCGCACCAGAAACGAATTTCTTTTTCTCAAAAATTTTATAATTGTAACAATAATAATGTAATTCTCAATATTACGATAATAAATTGAATAAATTATATATTTCTGTAATATACAATTAAAAATTAATATTTTAATTATTTAAATTTCGTGTGTCACAATCGTGTTATTTACTTTTACGTTTAAAATTCAGATCAATAATAATCTGAATATTTCTATTTTTAAATAATATTAATTTTGACAAGTTGTGTTAAAATTGCGAGAGAATTGTTAACATGCAAATGTGCAGATTGTTCTTAAAAAATATTAATTTGCATTAATTTAAAAGAACATTTTCGATAATTTAAAATCAGAATTTATGCATTTTCTCTCAATTCTTGATGAAATGAATTTCTTGATAAAATACAGAAGATAGTTTCTTTCACAAAAATATATATTAGAGAATTAATTCCATAATTACCTGACATCGGAAATTAAGCGATTGGAAAACAGATTTTTAGTAAATTTAAAATAAAATTCGTTTTGAAAGAACATTTTATATAGCTTTGATAAATATTTTATATAGTTTTAATTATATATATCGACTGAACGCATTTAACACTTAACAGAAGTAATTTATAATTTGATAAAGATTTAATTTTGGATCTATCAATTTAACGAGAAAAAAATGGAGAATTTCTGAGTTATATTTTTGTACAATATTTTACAAATATATTAGTTCTTATTACGATAACATGTTTGCAGATAAATGAGTCAACAGAGAATAAATAAACACCAATTGAACATGTTCGATTTAGATGATTCTCTTATATTTATTTTTTACTGATAATTATATTTTTATATCTAACTATACTGTAGTTATGTTCGGATATAGTTGAATATTGTCTCTGTTCTAATATGCGCGTTATAGCAAGATCGACTTAACAAATTATATGTCAATATTAATATTTCCTATAATAATAATTGATCTCAACATAATTTAATGCATTTACTATGGATGTGCACAATTATTAGTAGTAATTTTCATATTATTATTAACTATTAGATATCAATTAATTTTATCAGTAATTTATTGTTTTTTATGAGCATATAAAGTACAATATTAGCAAAGTTATCATATAAAATATTAACAAATTTTTATTGGTATTAAATATATTAAAGAACTGATCAATTTACTACAAAATGATGTGATAATAAAATAATATAAATAGTAATAGCTAATATATATAATACAATATACTATATGTAATAATTTTGTAAAAGTTCCATTTATAAATAAGCATTCTTGTAATTATAATAAATAATAATAAATATTTAAGTTTATATAGCAAAAATTGAAGTGTTATTTTTTTAATAAAACATGCTTTTCTAATATAAATGGCACTAAAATACACCTAACGCCCGTGTGATTCTTATGGCGATGTTAAATTATATTATTGTTTTAACTCGATCATGAAATTATTATAATCATGCCATATTATGTCTTACCTTACTAAAAAGCTGATATTAAGAAATAAAAACTTTTATGTAAACATTTCTACAACAATTGCACAGAAGCTTCCTAGTTTTTTAAATATCTCACTAAAGATCCGCTATTTTACATTAGTATGCGATAGCTTTGCAAAAAATCGTACTTCGCATGTAACTACAGCCTCGTTAGAAAGTATTTCTTCTCAGATGCCAGCATCATAGAAAATACCTACCATACATACCAATAACAAGACTTGCCGTTTAAAATTTAATTAATTTCTGACCTATGTACAAAATTTGCGATTTCGCTTTTGTGCCGACTTTTAACAATATCTTGCTTCTGTCGTCGGACTTTATCGCTGATTCCATCGGCGGAATAGCGAATTTCTGATCCCTAAAATACAACAAAAAACAATCTCAATATCAATTAATACAAAAAAACCCAAAGAAATCACTAAAAATAATTCTGTTATTTTGCTTTATACTCGATTCTTTCTCACCTATATATCTACTTGATTGAATCTACATTAAATATCACGATTAAAGTGCTTAGAAACGAAAGATTTGAGAAACTGTCCTATATAATTACTATGCAAGTTTCTTGAAACAACTATTTCTACTTATCATTTAGTCTACATAAATATAGGTATAATAAATATATAATATATCAAGCAGGTATAAAATCGCGAGGAACTAAGGTCGTCTTGACATAGTAATCTTGATGCGTCGTCGATAATACACGAAGTAAGAGTAAGAAATTGACCAATCGATTATTCAATCAATTTACTCTTACTTTTTACTCCGTGTTGTGTAGACGACGCATAATGTAACAAGTATCTACGATAATTATTGTACTCTCTCTCTCTCTCTCTCTCTAATCACGGATGGATTTGTAAATGTCTAAGTTAACATTGACATAGTAACATTTAGTAAACATTCATTAACAATTATTTCTAAACTATTGTTACAAACATTTAATTATTAAATATTAATAAATAATTACTTTTATCTCTATAATTATCTATCGAGGAGATCCTGGGCTAACTTAATAAAATATATCAAAAAAAAAGCTAATATGTACAGAAAAAAGTAAGAGAAAAAAAATGGCTTATTATTGTACAGTTCATTATACAATTCATCTATGACTTCAAACAAACTACGCTATCACTCGATATATAATATTTGTAAAATTAAACGTAACTCTCTTGTTTCTTTTTAACGATATTTCCAGATACAACAGACGTGAATAAAGGCAATTTGATTTGTTTTTCCGCGGACGTGTGGTCGTTGTTGCATGGTACCTTCACGTTGCAGCTTCTATTGCTGCTGTGTCTTCGCCAGAAGTCCGAATGACTGCTACTGCAATTGGTCGACCCGGTCGTGTAAGTACCCGTACGATCCGACGTTTTCTTCTTCTTCCTCTTGGCGGGACCTAGACCGCACAACTTGAGGAAACCCTCCCTGAATTTGGTCGACATCAAATTATAGAGGATCGGATTAATTGCCGAATTCAAATACAGCATGACTCTGCAGAAATACAGAAGACTGTAGTATCCTTCAATTCCAAGCGAGACAACCGTCTTGGGCGGCACGATGATGATCCAGAGGGTAAGAGCCTTGAAGGGTAGCAAACACAAGAAAAAGCATAGCACCACCGTGGCAAGCATCATGACCACCTGTTTGCGATACTTGAGCAGGTTGTTTGCCGGTCCACGACTTATCGCCGGATTCGCCATTAGGTGTCTTGCAATCACCGTATATAGGACTATTAAGATCAGTAGAGGAATCACGAAGAACACGAGGATCGTCGTTAGGATGAAGCCCGTCATCCAGGTTGTCGAAGCCGGTGTCGTACAAGTAGGTATGTACGTACCGTCGACGTTCTCTTCTATCTCGTAGGTAACCATAAGCAGTATGGGACTAGAACGTGTTAAAAGATAGAGACTGATTATTGCGGATACATTTATCATATAACTCCAATAAATTTACCATAATGTAACTGTTACCTGACACGCATAGCGTTTCTAAAATATAATACCTTGCGACAGCTTGCAAAAAATATCTTAGCGTAAATAAATTTCTATTGTGCAAACTACATTAAATAAACATCGCATTAACAACTTAAAAAATTTATAGCCAAAGCAGCGCGGGAGAAGGATAGTAAAATCATTTCACAAAGGATATTTACGATAATTTTTTCATATATCTTTATATCTAAAATACTAAGAAATACTTGTGTAACATTTGGTACAGATTGGGCTTCATATTTATTTAATCGTTCGCAATACTGATAATGAGATCACATCATTTGAAGTTAAAACTTTCCAAGAGCATCCATGCAAATCGTTCACTTGATTCTCGATCGTAGCTTTCACGAAAGTTCTCAAAGTTTAATATCTCATAGAATGTCAAAAGTTTTCTCGTACAAGTTTCAATCAATCTTTAGCGCACAGCACTTTATATTCACTTAATGCACCCATATCCTTTTACAAAAAATATAGTTTTGTGATATTTTCATGTTTCTTTAATTGTTATAAATATAATTATCCATCGCTCCTATATCCCTTATCAGAATAAGTACAATTTTTCATACTTCTAACATTTTCTTATAGCAAGTATAACTAAGAATCATAATTCTTTTATATCTTAATATCTTTTTGCAATGCATATGCATTTTTTCAATATTTCCATATTCTCTTTTAACAAGCATATCAAATTAAGCGTGATTCTCTGATTTTGAAAGAAATACGTTTTTAATGCTGATATTTTTATTTAATATTCTAAAACTAATTCCTCATTAAATATTTATTTCTTTGTATGTAGAAATTGTGAATCACAGTCGCTGCGTTATTGTATCGATCATCATAAAAAGTTGATTCAATCACAGAAAGTTCTCTTCCTGATTTAAGTCCTCCTGCTGATTTGCCGCAATTCTCCTCACGCCAGTGCTCCTGTGTGTGACCCTCTCGCTTTCAAAACCACACAGTTTCAGGAAACCCCGTCTGAACTTGCTACTCATTAGATTATACAGTATTGGATTGCTGGCGCTATTCAAATAGAACATGATCCTGCAGAAGTTGAGCAGACAGAAGAACGTGTCGTAATCTATCGCGGCTATCTGCTCGGCGGGTGCTATCACAATATAGAAGATGAGGAGCCGATAGGGCGACAGGCACACAAAGAAGCTTACGACTACCGTCAGCAGCATGTACACCACCTGTCTCCTGGCCCGACTATGATATGTGTCGTTGATGCCGCCGGACGTCGTCGACGAGTCACGGATCAAGTGACTCACAATAAACGAATACAATACTACGAGAATCACAAATGGCGCGACGAAGAAGAGCAACACCAGCAGCAGGAAGAACGTCACGCTGGCGACAGTATCGGCCTGCGTTAGGCACACCGGCACGCGATTCACCTGATTCGCCACTTGCTGATCTCTTCCGATGTTAGCAACGATATCGTGCACGATGCCGTGACTTGTCATCTTCATTTCGCGATACTGCGATACCCAGATCATCGGACTGCAATCAACCGGAAAAAAAAAAAAACGAAAACGTACTTTACTTCGTCTCATATTCGTTTCTCAGCGATGTAACTGCGATTTTGACGAAATCGACTCGTAGTAGTAAGCAGACAGAAGAAGAAGGCAGAAGCAAACGGAGTTTATACTTGATGATATTTGATTGCTTTGCAGTTCAATAATTCAAGGACAGCTCAAAGTGGAAATGCTCTTTGCGGGGATAAATTGAGGGCATAACGTAGACTGATGAGATAAAGACAGATTGCAGATTTGTATGATATACATAGTGATGATACATCGTATCATCTAAGCCAAGACATGCTTAAATGGCTTTGCTATAAAGTCACCTAATCATGTCGTAACTTAATAAAGATAGATGTATGTATATGACAAAGCTTTGTAAACTACTGTTTGCCTTGTTAATTAAATAATAAATATATACTGCGGAAAATAATATCTTATAATGATTCTATTGTATGTATTCATACAAGTGATATCTATGTTTAGGCATCAATCTAATAAGTCAGAAAGAGAATTTATTTCATATTAAATAAATGTATAAAAAAGAGAAAGTGTAAATTTAATCTTTAAACTCATTTTATTGTTTAATTAGCTTTAAGCTCAAAACGCTTTGAATATTGATATGTTAATGTATCTTTGTTTTTAAAGTAGCTATAAAAATAGTTGTAAATTTTTATCTTATGAATTGGATTTTTTAATCTGAAATGTCTAAAAAATTTTTATCGATGTAGTGTTATTTAAACAACTATCAATATAATAATATTTATCTCTTCAAAAATTTTAAAATTATCACAGTTTATCTTTATTAGTTTTTTATCTCTGTATTTTCTCACTTTTCTTATCACAAATGGCGAACGCTCTTGCATGTAGTAGATACATGTGTCGCGTAAATTGTATAACGTAAATATTCAAAGTAGAAGTGGATTCGCAAAAGCTAAATTCAATACTTGCACATTTGAAAAATTGCTTTCTGTATAGACACTTCTACGTTGTTTTGATAAAGTTACTGCAGCATGAACTGCGTTACAGTACGTACATAAAAAAAGGAATACTCCAACGCTCCGTTTCGCGTCAATATAAATAAAGTATATATATCATCGCATAGAAAACTCTAAACAAATTAAAAGTTATTGTTAAACTTCATATGTTATAATATAAATTTTATTTCTACAAAATTTTATTCTATTGCAAATGATATTTATAGATATAAATATATTTATATTTCTAATTTGTAAATATGTTCTACTTAAAGTTTAAAAATTTTAAGATATATGCGAACAATTTTTTTTAAATTTAATTTTCTTTGTAAAATTATAAAGTAAATACAGAAAAGGGTTATTGTCCTTTATCGCATTTTATAAAAACATGTGAAGAAGAATAACAAGTGTGTCTGTACGACCGTTTTCCCACGATGTGAAACAAAATATAATGCTTTTTTTCTTATTCTGTTACTTTATACGAGCACTTTACACGGGACCGAATTCGATTCGCGCGTGATAGGATACGATTGAGTTTCCTCAAATGCTTGATGAAATGTAATTTCAATAATTACGTGCTGTTACTTATCTCAACGCGGTATTTGTCTAAAAACTAACTATCTTTTTAACCTTTCAAATAGAAAATATAATGATAACGTTATACGAATACTTGGATAAATCTTTTTAACTATTTATCTAATTCTAAACGTACAATTAAGAATATCTTATAATTTTAAATAGATAATAAAATTAAATTTGCATTATAAAATACTAAAAATTATTTTCATTTAAACCAAAATGCTATAATTCTTTAAATAACTCTTTATCATATTTTGAACAAAATATTTGCTAAATAATAATGTAAATAAATTATTATAAAAAATTCAATCAATAAAGCTAAATCATTATGTAATAAATAGAGAAAAACAATGCACAAATATTTTGTATTATATATTTTCTTGTATAATTGTATAAATTACCTACATATGAAAAAAACAATCTAAAATATATTCAACTATATCTAAAATATATCTAAAATATAGTCAACAATGACATATATTAAATTTTTTATTTCTTTATTATTTTTTATTATTTCTTTAATTTAAAAAATATATAATATATGTATATATACAAAATGGTCTAAAATTTGTGCGATCTCAATGACAAGTTTAATAATAAATTTGATAGTAAATTTAATGTTATAATGAATTTTTCCAAAATAAATTCAATCGCCTATACTGCTTCATGAAATTATCTAACAAAAGTCAAAGAGGTTGGCTTGATTAACGAAATATGACATCACTCTAATAAATAATATTATATTATTTAATAAAAAAAAAAAAATACGAGTTTTTACGGGTTTACAATAAGCTCCGACTTTAATTCACATTTGCGATTATATTACTTATATTATTCACTGCAGCGGTGTGCATAAAAAACAAAACTTCGTAAGCTCGTCTATTTTATTTCACGGAAAAATTGCATATGCAAAAATGCTTCAGGCATCTATCGTAAAATAACATTATGCATACACGCAAGAACCCTTCGCAGGCTGAAGTCGAAAATTAGCAAAAGAAAAAATTCATTTGTTCCGATCTCATTTTACACAATAGTCATAATAGTGATAGTATTAGAAATACTATCCTCTCCATTTATTACATATTTCAGCTGATGCACTTTTAATCCCTATGATTTATTCGTTTCCTACAAATTCTTTTTCTTATCGTGTTGCAACGATTCCAAAATTATAATTAAAAAACGTGCTTGTAGTTAAGAAACATCGACTTTTCAATGGCTTAACGTGGTTTACGCGTTTGTCTCTCTTGATTTAATACGGTTATCCAGCTTTCTTTGAGTCATGTCGATTAAATCCTTTTGTAAGCTACGAGACTTTGGCTATACTAGTCCGGATAATACTACTTCAATTTCCTATTCCCAATGTTTACACAGCAGAATTCAGAACCTAAATCTTTGAAATAGAAGATGGAAGAATTTATTTCGCTAATACATCTCTTTATTCGAGAAAAAGAAATATTTTGTTTATAATGTATAAATGTATAACATCTATTCGTTTTTTAAATTAGGAAAAACAAAAGATTTTTAATATCAAATAATAATATAAAGAAAGCAAAGGGCAGTTACAAAAATCTTACATATGAAAAATATAACGTTTAATAAATTATAAATCATAATTATATATAGGTAAATTATATTCATTATATAAGCTAAACTCGATAATATGATATTATTAATATTGACTTTCTTTATAAATTATCATTTGTTCTTAAATTGCTCGCATAAAAAGTCACATGGAATTTTCGAAAATTAAAATAACTTTGAAGTATCTTAAAAGTATACACATTTACAATCTGTATTATACAGTATAATAACTCAAT